TATTTGCCATTCGAGAACTTATGGGTCATAACTGCACTGACATCATGATCAGAAGCATCTAAAGCAACAACAACTTCCAATGGGGAATCAAAATGTGTAAGTAGTAAAAGCGAGGATAATGATGAAATTACCTGATCGAAAGATTTGTGAAGCTCGGTGAACCAGTACTTTTGCACTATACAGGGTGATAAATGTTTCGCCTGTTCTTGGAGCGATGGAGTTCGACCACAATCGTCTTTTGTGAATGATAATGCTTAAATCCGTTCAGCTGAATTATATGGGATAAGTGAAGAAGAACAGAGAGTGATTGTTGTGGCAATGAAAAGCGATGCAGCTTGAGACAATTGATCGACGATTGGCCAATGAAGATTGAACGTATGGTTTACTTATTTTAACAAAACACTGTGTAATTTCGTCTTAAAATATATTTGGTCGTGCACACCTGTGTTCTCGTACACTACAGAGTGAATGTGGTCTTATTTATGTCATATCATCGATATTACTGAGCGTTTCATCTCGTGTTGAGTGCTTTTCTTCAATTCTGTGAATTTTCAGTGACGGCCTTAGCGATGTAAATTAACTGCATTAACTGGGATATGTGACAGAGCATCGGCACATCTGTCCAACTCGCCTTTAATGTGACGAAGGTCTGTCGTGAACTGAGATATATAGTCCAAATGTTTGCACACTCGTGGTGAGTAGCGGTCAGACTTTGTATGCAGAACATACGTTAAGGGCTGATGGTTGGTCAATAAGATGAAATCGCGAACTTCTACCGTGTGCCAGAAATGCCTAATGACACTGTAGGCTGCTAGTGGTTCTCGACCAAAAGTGCTTTATCTCGTCTTCGTGTGAGTGAGGCGTCGTGAGAAAAATTCAAGAGGTCGCCAACTTCCAGAGATTTTCAGTTGCATAACGACTACTATAGCGAATTCCAATGCATTAACCGCTATACTAAGCGTTGCTGATGGGTCAGGATGGTCGAGGAGTGTGACTTGTGTCAGAGCCGTTTGATCTCTGAAAATGCATCATGCGCAGCATCTTTCAATATAGACGTGAACAAAATTGAAGTCTCGTACTGTGCTATCGATAAACCTTTGAAAAGTTTGAGCAGCAATCCGTAATCCAACAGATAGGTCTTAGAAAATGTAGTCATGTCCTTGGGGGATGCCGTGTATGTGGGGGATGAGTTGGCTGTCAAAACGTTTAACCACGGTTAATGCTCGGTAGTCGCCACATGATCTACAACTAACTTCATCCCGTTTGCTAACCATGTGCAGAGGTGAGGTCCAGGGACTTTGAGCAGGACGAATATTACCAGTAGGTAGTAAATTGTCAAACTCACGTTCAGTGAATTCTAATTTGTCCGGTGCCAGTCGGCGTGGTCTTGCCGTGACTTGGGGTCCGCGGATAACTTGTCCATATGTGTTGATTTCCAATTGCATCTGTTTTAGTCGGCTAACTGAAAGAACAAAAGTATTACCGTGGAGAAGAATTCCAACTAGTGTTCCAGTTGGTTTGATACGGTTTATCTAGTTACGAGGAGATTTTCTCGACCTCAATTTTACTTGACCGTGATAGAATTTAGTAATACTGTAGCGAACACGAACATCAACACAAAATTACAGCACTTGTTAATAAAATCGAACAATCATAAAGTGAATGCTTAATTTGAGAAATGTCCACCAATCGTCTCAAAATGACACAGACTTCATTGTTCTTGCATTGTCATACAAATTGCATCTTGTTTCCATTCTTTACTGTTCGGTCCTCTTGTCTCTTTACTTCCACACTTTCTATTTACGACTAATATCATATACTACTTATGCCAATATAAGTAGCACACCACAATACTACTAATACATATGAATGGTTATCAACAAGTGTTTTAATATGTGCAAAGTGATAATTATGTGAATTTTGAACAGATAACTAAGAGCGATTCGCTAAACATGAGTGTATTCGTAAGAGACATGGTCTAGACTCAATGTTCAAATTTTCCATAGACTATTTGTTTACATTCATACCTAGCGGTTGATAGTGCATACAAGTTAGTTGCAAGTATGAAGTTTAACATGAGGTGGAATACAATGTAATTGAGTTATAGTGATTATAAGTTTTTCGAAATCCGTTAAGCCTACGTGTCACGTTTCTAGGTGATGTGGTGCTGCAAGATATCTTCGGCCAACTAAGTCTTCACAAGTTGGTTAACAGTGAGTGATGCTCATGTGATTATCAGGGAGGACATAAGTTGAACCCAAGGGAGTATACTCGAAACTCATGTTTATGATAATGGCTTGAACCGTAGTCCGTGTTGAGGTGAATTCGACATTGATGTTTCCAGTTTGTAGGAGATTTGCTCGAGCGCTTATACTGATGATTTGCATGCATGATTGTGTCGCTAAACCTCCAATTCGACTGACATGGTTTTGAGATATTCACTGAATGAGCAACTGATAGAGAAACATACTGCAATCATCTGGAAGCCCATAAATTTACTGTTCGATGAAGAATCGATTAGCTACAGTCTACGTGAATCGACTAACAGTTCATAGTGGTGTAGGAAATCGATACTGAGTATGGCTGTGAGAGCATCGGCAATGATGAACGTCCACAGACACAGTGGTCGGTTGCTCAGGTTGACCATAAGCTGTCGTTTACCATAGGTAGAAATGACTGAGCCATTCACAGCTCGTTGTCGAAGCATCGTAGCTTGAGACATACTGTTACTAATGGGTACGACAGAAATGTGGGCACCTGTATCTACTGGGTACCTAGCGTTAGTGTGGTAATCGTGCACATAAAATTAATGGCCAAACTGAGGTGGGTGCCGGCTAGTACGGCTGCATTTACTCGCCAGCTTGGGAGTTTACCGCCTTGTATGAGCAAACGGTTCGACAACGGCGGGCACCGTATCCGAAGGCACGGTGAAACCAGCACTCGCTTATGAAGCCGCTTTCGATGTGGCTTGGATGATGCCCGCATAAGGCCAACTGCTACGGCTCTACGTGACCGCGACCTGGTTCGTGGGACGTAGAGTTCTGGTATGCTGGAACGGTCTCGGAAATCGAGATGGCTATGTATGCAGCAACCCCCATCAACTTGAAGCAGAAAGCGACTAGCGTCTAGATCTATGTTCGAAATTGATGTTGAGGCAAATATACAGTTGTCTCGAGTGCTAGTCCTTGCTAATATCTTGTCTACTATGAGGGCCATCTGGGTAAGTGGTGTGTCCTCCAGTAGGGCCATAATCGTGAGTTGCAGATGTTCTGGAAGAGATTCGAGCCATAATTCCTTAACGAATGCGGAATCGGCTGTCGTGGGTCTTGCTAGAGATTAGAGGCGCGCGACTTGACGATCGTAGACGTTGGGTACATTGAGATTGAGGACTACATACCGAACAGTGGAAATGTGATCCGCAGGCAGAATTTTCAGAACGTGAGCATATTTCTGCCACTGGCCCGTATTGCGGCGGATCTTGAACTGAGGCTCCAATGACGCGAACAACACTTCTGGTATTGTTGCCAGGATATTATATATTGAAAGGTATCAATATGATTTGTGTAACAAATGTAGATAAATAAATAATAGTTTCAACGTGTTTGCAGTTGACACTCACCAGATGTAGTTGGTGAAGAATCGCGGCTGAATATGATCATCACTAAAAATTAAATACGTATCAGTTTCAGGAACCTCATCACCTCAACAGCACAACACTTTCATCCAGTAAATGTGAAAACGCATCATTCGGTGCTAAGTTGAATATAAACTAATGAAATGTCTTCAGACCACAACAGAAATATATATTTCTCAAACGATGTAATGATGCACCAATTACACTACTTCACATAATTCACATGACATCAGATACAGCCGTATACTCATGAAACTAGAACACCTGCCACATTGTCACGCAATAAAATAATCGGAAAAGAGAGAACTCTGATTATTACCGATCGACGAACATCAATCTAGTCATTTCATGATTCCCGGAGAGGGTTGTAATGTACAGTGTCTAAGATTATTTACTAAATCGGAAACATATTGCTAAATCACAAGGTGATTTCTTAACAGGAAGGTCGTGGATGACATTGCACTTTGAGGTCTCTCACCGCATAGCATTGCACCATCCCACGAAATAATACAACATAGTGCAATCATTTATTTTGACATATCTCACACATTTTATAAAGCATCCAATAGTATTTCGTATTAAAATTTGCATCAGACTGAAATCCAAGTTGGCTTATTCACACAGCTCTCTTCATTCAAACATGAAGACAGTGGAGATGTCGATGGGTGAGAACAAGTAGCACAGTTGTCAGCATACACATCACACTAGACAGTCATTCAACACTGACGACTTGTGACACAGATGTGTGAATACACAAAACCTAGTAACAACAAAATGCTATTTCTGTTCTCCAAAGTTAGTTATTAGATCGTCAATCAAGAAAACCAACAACGTAATTCACTCATGTTTATTTCATTTCAATTCAATATCAAAAATACACAAATGTGTTTACTGTAACCAGTTTAATAAAACAGACGAACAAACAGTCTTCAGAACTCTTCATGATACCTGAAAACAAAATGAGAGAAGGATACACGATGATTCAGTACAAGTAAAATGTATACATGACTATGATTAAGTTCAATTGAATTACATTGACAAACTAGTCGAACTGAGTAGCATTCATCTTGTCAAGTGAAATTAGTGTTTGAAAGTTTGAAGTATCACATTTTCACTTATTCGGAAACTGAAAGTGTGTGTTTGTGTGTGTGAGTGTGTGTAATAACAGTTCAGTTCGTCCGTGATCCAACCAAATGCGACGATACGCAAATACTTACGATTCGTAAATTCCCGTTGACTATTAGGAAGATGATAATCGGACGACAAATCTTGTCCTTAAAATTTGTTGATAGTTAACTGATGACTGTATATTAGTTGGATCAGTTCAACAAAGATTACTTACTGTATTCAGTGAAGTGCCTCACATTCAATGAAGGAAATCGTTAAAAATTTCACCACCATTGTCAGGTTGTTTTTCGTGACCTTCATTTGTATTCATATTAATATTCATAATAATATTATGATCATTTTCATCAACACTATCATTTACTATCGCATACTCCATTTTCTTAACTCCTTGCTTATCGAATTTCTCCTTTTCGTCATGATCATCATCTCCTTTGTTTTCTTCAGTTGTTGATTGGGTGAATCGCTGTTCGCTTTCATCTTGTCCAAATGTGTCGTTGATGTCATTGTTAACATCAGGTAAAACAGCTGAACCTAAATTTAGAGAAAGATAAACGACTGGTCAATTTACAGTGATACACTGAATAGAGATTCACGAGACCCAATAAAACAAGTCAAACTAACAATTGATGTTCCATTCCAAATATTGTAACATTGATACTCATAACTCACTGCCAATATTCAATAAACAGTATTCTCCTATTCTAAGTAGCTGTTCAACACATTGACTAGATCATTCACAATCAAACCATGTTATTCTCACGTCAAATTAATTACTCAGCCTTATTTGACTGAATCACATTCAACAAGCACAAATGTCACTTACCCGAACAAATCACTTTCTTAACAATAAGAGTCTCACATAATATAATGTATATCAAAGAAATATTTGGAACGTACGTGTATATGCGGGAATGAATGTGACGAGCATTGTGAGGCATAAGATGTTGCACACCGTTGATAAACGCATTTCGTCTGTCAAATGAAGTGAACTTGGAATGGAGTGGATAGTTGATCACATAAGAAACACCTCATGTTTATATACTGATACGGACCTATGAGATCTAATGAAATTTGTGAAATGAATTAATGGATGAACTCATCCGATTGGTGTTCTCTTCGTCTGGTTCACTCAACAATTTGGTACTAAAAGTGCACATAAACTGGTCATAATGGAATGTGGTTATTCATATATTCTATTGTGCATCAATAACTACAATTACAACATCAACAAATTCACGATGTGTGCGTAATCTACATCAAGCTCACTTACTGCATTGATTCACCAAGTTCAGTTCAATGGTAAAATTAGTAGTCAATTAGTTAGATTAGATAATCACACTAACATATCTCACCTTGATAATATGACCAGAGAAATGTCAGCATCATTCTCTCTTTCAACTGAATGCTAAATAACACCTTTATATTTTGGTATTTCAGCATAATTATTATCAGTGGTCTTATGAGTAGAATTCTCTCTGATTTTGATGGACTCAACTAATTAGTAGTTTGTTGATCACGTTGCAACCAAATGACGTGATGTGATCATCTCAGTGTTTCCATCAATTCTCTCACTTGTACTTGATAGATTAACAATAGTTAAAGATAGCAAATTCATATTGGCTATGTGTTGAGGAGATAGTATCTCGATGAGTCGAATTCAAATTCACTAATATATGCGATCGTCTCTCTACATATGCTTATGTGTGATAAAGACAAACGAGATGTTTGCGAAGATCAGTCGACTGTGCTTATTGAACAGTAATGCTTGATGGTGTACTAGAGTGGTTCCATCTGAGCAATCCTGTTATTCACCTTGCCCGATAATTTTGTATGCATTGGAGCTGTATGAACGATAAGCGTTATGTGTCTCTTGTGATCTAGTGACAGATGGTTTTGTGGATTACCCCTTTGGAGAGTTTGGAATCGTCTACGGTCATGACGATTGCTAATGTTGTATGTGAGACATCGAAGTTGTCGGGCAAGAATGGCATTGGTTGAAATGAGGGTATCGTAAGAGTCTTGATCACAAACAGTTTGGGAGTCTATCCGGCCATGTTGAATATAAAGTATATCGATGAACGAAAACATTTCCGAAAATAAGGAAATAGTATAACACGATGCAAAAATTAAAGTAAAAATGATACATAAAGTTTCGGAAAGGAACTGGTACATCAGTGATGTGTCATTTGTTTGATGAAACCACAACAGATTTTTTTCTGATTTGGAATTGCTCCCCTCGGTTGACTTGTGGTGTATGTTAATTATGTCGATATAAATAGTACATAACACCAGTTGGAAGTGCAATAACTGACAGCGGAAGTTTGTCAAGATCGAAGAGAACAAGTAAAGAGAGTGATTGCTGTGACAATGAAAAGTGATGAAGTTCGAGATAATTGATCTAGAATTTATAGATGAAGGATTAAACGTATTGTTTTCACATTTTGCAAAAAAATCGTGTAATTTTATGTTAAAATAAATTTGGTTGTACTCACCTGTGTTCTCGTACGATGCAGACTATATGTGGTCTAGTCTGCCGCTTATCATCCATAATACTGTCAGTTTCATATCCTTTTGTGTGCGTTTCTACAATTCAGCAAATTTTCAGTGACAGCTTCCGTGAACCGAGCTATTTCTTAATCTGGATGTAATTTTTGCGTTCACTGACGGCTGCCAGATGACAATCAATTTTGTTAGATAACACTTATTACCTGTCCATTTTGACGTATGTAAAATCCGTTCGCTCGTCGTCTTCAATGTGGAATATTGCTGAAGCTTCATTGTTGTGTCAAATGTGTTGAGAGACTCACTTCAGTGTGGTTTAACAAAATAAATTTGTTAGTGCTGCATACATGTATGTATGCATACAAGTTATTCATTGCAGTTATGATGATAATAATGATTATAATTATATTAGTGATGATAATAGTAATAACTTCTTCTCGCTGACTGCATTTTATATGAAGCATGACATTTTACAGACAAGTTCAAATCGTATGAATTGTTGCTTATATCCGATAGCAATATCCTTGATGACCTCCATTTATAGCAGATAACAGATCATCAAACGAAATCGCACTAGAATAATTATGTATCATTCTGATACTGTCAAAACAAGTTTTCAGGTCTGAGAAGCACTTCATCTGGACTACATTTTCATTATTATCTATCTTTTCTTAAGTTTGCTAATTCTGAATAGCAATATTTCAATCATAAATGAGACACCTGACATAACACTTATTTACCAGTCGTTAAGTTAACCATCATAGAATGTTCCACCAATCACTAGAGTTTAACATCATCGATATTGGATGTGAGTCCCAGTCGCCATCGTGACAATCGCGACGCAAAACCCTGACCTTTACTAATTAGAGGTTCCTTCGTATGTATGGGCTCTAGTTATGGTTAAATGAAGATCCTGTTTCACTAACACAGTAAACAGAGTTATATTACGAGATACGCTCACTCTCTATTAGAGCAACGATAACTGCATTTTCCAGTGTATTCAAAAATTCTAAAGGCACAATGATGGGTATTTCACGCACTCAGGATCATCAAATCCTCCTTCAAAACAAAGAGAGAGGGCATTGCAATGAACGTCGTCCAATGCTATATTATTGAATAAAGCTGATAAAAATAATAATAATAATAATAATAATAATAATACCAACGACTACAATGTGGACGCTAAAGATCAATTCTACAATAGGCTGCAGTCAGTCGTCGGGAGGTGCCCAAAGTGGAATGAAGAACACCGGATATGAAGAAATCATGGGACGACACGAACTGGTAGAAAGGAACGAAAGTGATGAGATTTGCAAACCTATGTGCCTTCAATAAACTGGTCATAGGCGGCACCATATTCCCACATAAACGCATTCACAAAACCACATGGATTTCACTGGATCACACCACTGAGAAGCAAATCGACCATATCTGCATCAACACAAAGTTCAGGAGGACGGTGGACGATGTGAGAACCAAGACAGGAGCCGATATACCATCAGATCATCACTTGCTGGTCACCAAGATGAAATTAAAGCTTAGGAAGCACTGGATAACGGGCCGGACAAAATCACAAAAGTTTAATACGGCTTTTCGTCGGGATACTGACACGCTCAACAAACCCAAGACAGTCCTGAGCAATCGGTTCCAAGCCTCTCATGATCTACTGAATGTAGAGGGAATTACTGTGGAGAGAAACTGGAAGAGGATCAAAGAAGCGATCACTTAAACATGCCGTGAGGTTCTGGGCCATGAGAAGCACCATCACAAGGAATAGATCACTGTCGATACACTGGATATGATTCGAGAAAGGAGGATCAAGAAAGCAGCAATCAACACTAGCTGAAAAAGAGCAGAGAAATTCAAGGCACAAGCTGAATACACAGAAGTAAAAAAGCAAGTGAAGAGGAGTACGGGAACGGACTGACATAAGTATGTGACGATCTAGCAATGACGGCGGAAAAGTCTGTAAGTGAAGGAAACATGAGATAATTGTATGATACAATAGAGAAGCTCGCTGGAAATTATCATAAACCAGAACAACCAGTGAAAAACAAGAGAGGCAAAGTAATCACCAACACTGAGTAACAGCAAAACAGGTGGGTAGAACATGTAGCGGCATTGAACCCTAACTACACAATAGTCAACGCTGAACACGAGACACCTAGGAAGGTAGATATTGAACATGTGCCGCTGAGAAAAGCCCAACGAGAGAGAAAGCGGGAAGAATGGATCCAATGAATTCGAATTGTTTGGATGGCATGGCTTGGCCTAGAAATCGTGGACTTTGTTAAATGTTATGTTATGCCTTTTATTCATATTAAATATATTGTTCTATCTCTAGTCTAAGCTTGTATTGGTGATTGTTACATTGCAATGAATCAGGGTAGACAATGATGTGACTTCTACGTAATATCTTTTAGATTAGGTACTTACATCATAGCAACTCTACAATTTCAGGATCAGGTCTATTATTAGAGCAGTACTAATGTCGAAGTAGACTATATATCAACAAACACATCAAGCAGCTGTTTAGTCGATCAGCCCCACTGAACACACCCAACATCGAAGTAGAACCCGTGGACATACCAATCAATGTCGGCCCACAAACGATTGAAACGGTGTTATTTAGCATTCAGTTGAAAGAGAGAATAATGCTGACATTTCTCTGGTCATATTATCAAGAAGAGATATGTTAGTGTGATTATCTAATCTAACTAATTGACTACTAATTTTATCATTGAACTGAACTTGGTGAATCAATGCAGTAAGTGAGCTTGATGTAGATTACGCACACATCGTGAATTTGTTGATGTTGTTATTGTAGTTATTGATACACAATAGAATATATGAATAACCACATTCCATTATGACCAGTCTATGTGCACTTTTAGTACCAAATTATTGAGTGACCCACACGAAGAGAACACCAATCGGATGAGTTCATCCATTAATTCATTTCACAAATTTCATTAGATCTCATAGGTCCCTATCAGTATATAAACATGAGGTGTTTCTTATGTGATCAACTATCCACTCCATTCCAAGTTCACTTCATTTGACAGACAAAATGCGTTTATCAACGATGTGCAACATCTTATGCCTCACAATGCTCGTCACATTCATTCCCGCATATACACGTACGTTCCAAATATTTCTTTCACATACATTATATTATGTGAGACTCTTATTGTTAAGAAAGTGATTTGTTCGGGTAAGTGACATTTGTGCTTGATGAATGTGATTCAGTGAAATAAGGCTGAGTAATTAATTTGACGTGAGAATAACATGGTTTGATTGTGAATGATCTAGTCAATGTGTTGAACAGCTACTTAGAATAGGAGAATACTGTTTATTGAATATTGGCAGTGAGTTATGAGTATCAATGTTACAGTATTTGGAATGGAACATCAATTGTTAGTTTGACTTGTTTTATTGGGTCTCGTGAATCTCTATTCAGTGTATCACTGTAAATTGACCAGTCGTTTATCTTTCTCTAAATTTAGGTTCATCGGTTTTACCTGATGTTGACAATAACATCAACGACTCATTTGGACAAGATGAAAGCGGACAGCAATCCACCCAATCACCGACAGAAGAAAACGAAGGAGATGGTGATGGCGAAAATGGCGAACGGGTACCAGACTTGGTCGTTATACCGGAACATCAAAAGATAGATCATCATGATAATAAAACAATCAATTTGGATAAAAAAGAAGTTAATAGAACTGCGTATAAGGTAGAAAATGAAAGTGTTGATAATAATGATAATAACATTATTATTAATATCAATATTAATAAAAGTGGTGGTCATAATGTTGATGACAAGGATGATCACACCAAATACTATACATATTCTCATGGTCCACGTCGACTGGCAAATAAACATATGGCTTCAAATAATGTAGAGGCACTTCACTGAATACGGTAAGTAATCTTTGTTGAACTGATCCAACTAATATACAGTCATCAGTTAACTATCACTTCATTTTAAGCACACGATGTGTCGTCCGTTTATCATCTTCCTAATAGTCAACGGGAATTTACGAATCGTAATTATTTGCGTATCGTCGCATTTGGTTGGATCACGGACGAACTCAACTGTTATTACTC